GTGATGTTCGGAGTGTTTGAATTAGATTCTGCATTCCACCCTATCATCGCCCACTGTCACCCAAGCAATTCACCGACGACCACCGTGACACCATTTACTTTCGGTTATAATACTTTAGACAATATGTGGTGACCCAAACACAGATATGCCACAGGATGGCCACAGGATGGCCACAGGGACTTGAAAATCAATGGCAGAATTTTGATCCATGGACTAATTCATGTAGGGAAAGCTAATTTACATTTTGGGGGATCAGGTTAATTATCACAGGTCCATTATGATATACATGTACATATATTGTACAAAGGCAAAAACTCTAAAACTGTTTCCCACCTGAAATAATGCCCGGTGAGATGTTAGTGATGCGAATCAAATGTAACTTACTTTTGTGTGATATTTTAAACTAGAGTATTTATGAAGTCTGCCACTTGAGACAATGTTACCAAGACAGGGGTTGTAAGAACATATGTATCATTTCGTCATGTTGATGAACTTTACTCCAGGTGATACGAAGATTACTTGACCTCATATTAGCATGGTACTAACGTAATCATTAGGAATTTTACGAATATGATCATTTATTTTCATATGGATTTGAAGTTCTTAACACATTAATACATTAGTTAAGGTGCGTTAATATATTGAATAGTTACCGTTGAATTTGCCTCTACCCATTTGGTATTTGTAATGCAAACTTACATTCATCATTTTCAATTGCCGGTGGCAATTCATGAGGTTGTAATACACAACTGAACATGGTAAGGTTACATAGTTGTAGTAACATACAAAGGTAGATATATCGATATGTTTATCTTAAAAGCCTCGAGAAATTATTGTCGTGCACTCATCTTGTTTTCTTTTTCTTTCAACAACTGTTTCTGGTTTTATTCCTTATACAAAACAAACGATAAAATTACATATACAATTTTTATTTACAGTCCATTGGATGTATTCGAACCATACCGTTTACATTTATATATATTATAGATATAATCACAGTAAAGACAGTATTCTATACACTGTTTCAGAAATGTCAGGAACGTTTGTGTGATATTGGCATGAATATCTAGAAATAATGTGGCAAGTTTGTGGTGCACATTAACACAATAAATGCTCTGTGGCAGCGGTTTTTGGGACCACCAACGAACAGAATGTCCACATGTGACTTTACGTCGGCTAGATACGCAGATACGGACGTCGCATTTGCGCAATCGGTTTTTGTCCTCTTCTCTAGAAATATTCTAGTACCTAGACGAATTAGTTCTAAAACCGTACGAAATAGATTTTGAGAAACCAACCTCCGACCGCGACGTCCCGTTATCCGACATGTTTTACTTAACGTCAGAGAACGGTTAAGGTCTACCAGCGAGAGTTGTGCGATGAGTATGATGCAAGGGGCATCTCCGATTCATCATAAGGGCTCGGTCTCAAGCAATTTTCACAGATGAGTCCAGATTACACCTCGATAGTAGTTACGGCCATTCTGGGTGTAACGTCGTTCGGGAGAGCGTTACAGTTTGACAGGAGGAGCACTTTATTGTCTGGGGTGGCATTACAAAGCCTGGAAGGACTTTTTTGATTATAGTGGAAGGCAACTTGACCGGTGTGCACTACCGTGACGAAAGTATACGTTATCACGTTATACACGATTTCATATTGCATATCTACAGATTTGTCTCCAATTGACCTTGTTGTAGATGAAATGGCGCGACGTCGGCGTCAGGAGCCAAACCCTCTTGCGACGTTAAATGAGTTGCTCGATATATGCAGGGGCGGATTTAGAGGGGGGCGTGGGGGGCGCACGTCCCCCCTAAAATTGGCAGAGTAAGGGTGAGTTACGAAGTATACTGGATGGTCTTGGTCGTATGTTATGACTATCACTGTTCTAAACAGCTATAGATGACTTAAGTTGGGCTAATTTTCAAGTATACAGTAACTTTATTATAGTTGATCACATAACGACAGAAAGAGTTAAGTAAGTTAATCAAACCGAATGGGAGACATAGATCTAATAACACGTAGTATGCATCAATCCGAATGGTAGACATACACAGTATTCAACTTGTGGAACTGGTTTTGCAGCCCATCCCCCGATCCCTGTACTCATTCATTCCTTTATAAGGCTACAGATTTCAATCCTGATTGACCGATTGTCTAATTTACACTGCTCAATATGAAGATAAGACATTCAGTAGAGAAAGATTTGGTACGAAATGTTACATATATGTAGCATGTGAATTTATAGATTAGACAGTAGATGTATGTATATAATCAATGAAGTAATAACGACAGTACGGACAAGCAAATTGTCAAATTTTCGAGACAATCTGGCCCTTTATCAAGACACAAATATTACATAAATTACATCACATACATAGAACATAAAACAAATACAAAGTTATAACGTTAAAACGAGAGCGGTGGTGTAAATATAGGTGTCTCTATATGTATATTTTTATATGTATATGTATCCACTTCTCATATCATGTTAGAATTGTATGTGTTATATCAATAAAGAGTGGATGATATACAAAATATAGTCATATATACATGTGCTCACATTGAACTCGTGGGCTGTTGTTACTAAGAGAGTTTAATGAAGATGAATCCGCCGTATCAAACGAGTCAAATGTTGTACTCCGAAGGAAATCAAGCGACCAATCTACCAAAGTCGTTTTACAATCTTTATCATTTTATATACGTCTACAATCTTTATCATTTTATATACGTATTATTTGGAATCATCATATTCTCGGGAAGAAACTTATTGTAAGAATTTGTAACATTAGTAAAGTTTTTTTGTTTTGTTTTTGTATTGATTTCTATGAAGGAACTAAACCCATTGGCCCCAATTGAATTTTAAGAATCTAACAAAATATTTGAAGAATTGTGATTCGTTTGATAATTGCGTTCATAATTAAAGCAATTTACTTTCCACGCTGAACAGTAGTTAAATAAACAAGCGTTGAATGGGAGAAGTGAGTGTGTCAACAGTCGGGACAATCTGGTCCCTACCTGGTGTTGACGGTCGGTGTTTACAGGGTGTCAGGTGTGACTCAGGTGTTACATTGCCGGAACACACGGTCACTGGTGGTCAATACTTGGCACGTGACCCAACCCGCAAACGGACGGGTGGGGTGCACGTAGCTTGACCGTTATAATGTACCAATGTCCACGTGGACAAAGTAGCCACGCTGGAACTATAGCGGTAATTTTGAGTGTTTCCCGTTCATATTAGATATTACACAGCGGGTAGGGGAGCTAAATCTGAGATTTCTACAAACTATAAACACATATTTACCTGTGTTTTATGGCGTATATATCTATGTCTTACTTCATAAGCTAGACACTGTTACATATATTAAATACACAAGTCCCTGACTTCACCATGTTACGTTGTTTTTATCATTTCTATGACATTTACATGTGGTATAAATGCAACGTGGGCGACATGTAGATTGAATGCCGTCGGTTAAAAATTATATGTATGTGTCTCCTATATTGCGTTCATACCGACAACAAATACAATCTGACCATCATAAAGAAGTTCAGTTTACACTTCGATATTATTTTAGAATAACAACGTGCCTATTTAATCAAATTGTATCATGAAGTCCATTGTTTGTCCTTTACTGGTAGGGCTTCCTGAAAATGATAATATCCTGCATGATTTACACTGATATAAAGTGTTTTACCAAATGTTTGAGAACATGGCGCCAAAATGACACCATACTTTAGTCTTGTCATCTAGAATGGAACTGTATTCCATTGACTACAATCGGGATTAACACTGAGTTAATGGGTAGTTTGTGACATGGTTCAGTGATTAAATGACATTAACATTACCAGAGTGAAATTTGAACTAATACAGATAACAGAAAACACCATGATCAATGTCTGTATTTCTTTATTCATGTTCCTGAAAATAGTTGGTATATTATATTTACACATAAACTTGTTATGCTTCAAAATAGCTCTAAAGGCATTGTCACAACCCAAGTATTGAAAACAATATGGGTCCTTATTCATTAAAACAATTAACTATATGACGTGTGGATTAAGAAATGAGAAGTGTTATAGATAATATGTTTAATATAACAGGAGTTGGCAGTCCTTCTAAGGATTAGATATTTCTAGGTTTAAATTCAAACTTTGTTTTTGTATCACCAACAACACATTTCGATTCATACAAACATCTTCCCAAAATAAATTTATAACTGAAGTTGAATTTCTGATTTTTTCCACACAAGTTTCCTCTCCTTGAAGGCTACAGATGAAACACTGTCAACATCAAATTACACTACATGTAGTTATGGATGAATGATAATGCTTAATTTATTTACAAGAGGGTCCTATACCACAAAACAAAGAGTTCCAAGTTAGTACCAACTAACTTGGACGGACAACTGATATTTTACAGTTAATCTGATACTAGCCTAAAGCTCTGTTTGTGGTACAGGTCCAGAATCACAGTACTTGATGACTATAGACACATTGGTATAGTATAGATAATATGTTATCACTTGTCCTCAGGGACACAGAGCTGACCATCAACAATCAACAAATAATCATTTGCACACTTTTTATATTTTCATATGAACTTACAATACTGCCGGTTTTTAATCATTTTTTTTTTTTGTCTTCCTGCCTGATTCTTTGGTCTTTTAATTACCTAACAATTCCTGCATACCAAAGGAAATTATATTAAAAAATTAAACATTCTAATCCTTACAATATTCTGTGTTGAGAAAAGTATTGGTGGTCTGTAAATTTGTAATATCCTATGACTTAGAGACATTGAGGTCAAGATATGTTATAATTTCACCAGGTATTGGTGCATGTCAGTAGTATAGAGGTATGAGGTTTTCGTATAGGGCAGGTAAAAAAGCTAGTTATACTGACTTCATAAGTCACAAATTTTGTTTTAGTAGTATATTTGTTCTTCAGAAGATAACATTTTTTCAATGATATAAGTAACAATTTAAAACTTTAACCACAAATATTTTCTGTAGAAATAGAAAACTAAACTCTTTAACAAGAGGACGACAATAAATATCACAATAAATCTGGCAATGTTCCATTCACCTCACTTTTATTCCGGTGTAGGGTGAGACTCTGTATGAACCACTTCATTACCGGGTTTTTCCTGTTGGTACATTTATTATATTATATATTCTATAGTTTTATCAGAGTTATTCCTTTGGCTCTCCAGCCTCTTCCTCTTCGGCTTCTCCTCCTTCTGGCTGCTGTTCTCCTCCTCCACTCTCATCGGCCTTCTGTTCAGCAGGCTCCTCAGTGGGTTCTGCCGGTTTCTCAGCCTGAAAAACAACACAGAATTTAGTTTTTATACCCTCAGATTGGTTCCGACACAGAAACACACAGTTTTTTGTCTCCTAAAATAGTCTCTGGTTTGTCTACAATATTGGTAAATAGCCACTTCATGAAAGCATTATTTCAATTTCTTTGATTTTATTTCGAAATCACACTATAACCACATAGACAGACTTTACATAAAGATAAAGACCTGAGGTACACATTACAAGCTGTCCCTGATGTCATGCACATTCCATTACACCTCTTTTAACAAACATTACCACAGTATAGACCTTTATTGGCAATAAGCTGAGTAGTACTTATTTCTTTTCTTAAGTTGAAGAAGTACAGTAACAAGACAGACTTTCACCAATTTATGTAACATGAATAAGCTTGAACTACTTCAAGGAAAAAATATCATCAACATTAAATTAATCTTGACTTTAGTCGATGGATTTGTTGATTTTTCTTCTTTATTTTTTCAAAAATTAATACAGTTATCGAGTTCAGTCAACAAAAAATAATAATAAAAATAACATGAAATTAACCTTCAATATAAGTTTTTGCCACTTTAAATTTATACAGGAATAGGTATAACAACCTCACTCAATACAGAAAAAGCTCTTGAACAACTGGTAAGGGTCATTTAATCAACGTTTATTTTTAGACATATGTTGGTGAAACTCTAGCTTGTGGTCTTTTGAAATGTGTCTTATTATTATTCATAGGGTTTCCAAAGTACAGCAAATACTAGTTATACTCCAATTAGGGTTGCCAGTCTGTATGTCCCTCTCACCGCCCCACACCCACCTCTTCCCTCCATCCTCTCTTTACCCAATACAATCTTCCTGTTTTCACACCCAGTATTGTTACTCATTCTACTGTGTCAAATAGTAAAGACGAAATGATCATTACAACAGAAAGAGGTGGGACCCCAGGGAAAGTGATCACTGGGGCACCACATCCTGGGAATTTCTAAGTAAGAAAATCTTTACCTGTTCATATCTTATACATTTTAGCAACTCAAATCTGTTGAATAAATTTTCTCAAGAGGATTATGTTTTGTTATCATCTATTTCCACTACAAAAATTATTGGTGTATCTAAATAATGTGTGATTGCATGTGTATTCAACTGAACATTTAAATGGTCTGTTGACTAAACACTTCAGTTTTCCTATAGTGAGCCCCTCACTGTCGTGATAAATGTCTAGATTCATTCAGGCGGAAAAAGAGTCACCTGCTCAACACAAGGAATGATGTTGTCAAAATTAAGAAGCCGCGTGCCGGGAGTATTGTTGCCTTCCAACAGAGGGACAAGTCATGGGAATTTCTCATCTGGCAGAGCGAGGCAGTTCTCTTAGAGCGGGTGCTGACAAACGCAGCTCACTGTACTGAATAATCACTCACACTTACTGATGAAGCGCACCATCGCCGTCATATTATCCTGCAGGGATCGCTGGTCTCTAATACCCAGCCCTGGTCAGGGGAGTCTATTCTACTTCTATCAAATCTCCCAACACCCGTAATAACTTGATAACTATGTTCTTGAGTTGCAGGGAAATTTATTCACACACATATAATGTTTTAATTTTCATATGACAGAATTATGGACTAGGGGTTCTTCAATTATCCCTTCTGGTGATTTGAATTATGACAACAGCAGATAAAAGCCACTACCTAATCAACCTCCATAATTCCACTTTTGTCCTCTTAATTTTATAAAAATAAGAAATATTGACTGTGTGTAAAAAAAAAATGTGTCAGTAATAAAATTATGTTGATTAATTAAAAAAAATCTGGAAATAATTTGTCTGATTTGAATAATTCAAAATTGATGTAATTACTGCATGACTTAGAACATTAATTAAACGTTATGATATCAGACATAAACAATAACATAAAAAAGAAGTATACTAAGGTAAACCTTGGAGAAAATTTGATAAATCATAAAATTATCTATCATTAAATTTTAATTCAGTTTCATGTTTTTCTGGGTACCTATCATTAATGGTAGAACATTAAAATCTCTATTTATACCTCCAGCACATGTTTCTAGATAAATCTGATGACCAGCTCATGATGCATGATTATATTACCAACAGTTCAATATGCCAGATAAACCTGGTGACTAGTTAAAAATTCCCGATAAACATGATGAGTATATAATGATATCAAATAAACACAGCAACCACTTTTATATGAAGGTACTGCTTTCCTTATATATCTGACAACTGTTTCCAATTTATGATGCCAAATAAACTTGACAACCACAATTTGTCAATGATACCAGATTAACCTGACAACTACATCCAGTTAATGATGTCAAATAAACCTGGAAAAATCTACAGTATATGACACCAGATAAACCTGACAACTACCACCAGTTAAGGACGTCAGATATGCCTAACAACTACATCCAGTTAACGATACCAGACCAGTCTTGTTAGTGATGGAGATGTTATTAGGTACAGTAAATATTTCCTTTTTTAACTAACCTCTGTGGTTGTGGCTGCGGCAGGGGGTGGCACTTCCTCTGTGGCATTGTTTGAGCTGTCGCCTTCCACCGCTGGTTCTAACGTGTCCCCCAGCATTTCCCTTAATTTTTCGTCTAATTTGGCATACTGATCGAAACGTTTGCTGACCACCTCTCGCAGGATTCCATCTAGCACCATTCTGCCAAGCTGAGACTTGTGTAACTGTTCCTTGACTTGGTCCATCAACCATGGCATAAATCCCTGTTCAATATCTGGAGGAACAGAAATGTCGTCACTTAGTGGGAAGCATATTTATACTTCTATGGATACAGGTTTATGAACGAACAAAGTTTAACAGCAGTGCTGTAGTACTGCACCTCAAATTTAGAATGAACATAAAATTTCCTGTTATATTTGATTCTGAAAATTTAACATTTTAATTTGTTCTAAAAATCTGAATCACAAAACTGCATTCCCTTCTATGGATTTATCTATAATTTTATTTAGAGATTCAGTTCCAAAAACATGTTTGAGATTATAACAGTGTGCCCACCTCTTTCCACAGGATCATAGAAGTAACCATTGTCTGATAATGTTCCAAACACTGTTGGCACCAAATCGGCGAGGTAGCTCTGAGCAAATGCTCTGGCAGCAATTTTTTCTGAAGTTTCGTGCTCCTTTTTCAGGATTTCTCTCTGTTGTTTCATACGTCTTTCCTATCGTGAAAAAAACATCAAAATATGTGCTTATTGGGTTATTTTAAAATAATGGAAAATAAATAATAAAGAATGTAACAACAAGAAAATGAAAACACTTGCTGCCAATCAGTCTTGTGTAAAATGATATAAGGGAGATAATACAGCTTGATTGTTCCATTCATAGATCTATCACTTTTCATCCATGCAGACATCTACCTTTTCTTCTCTGTGTCGTCGCTCCTGTTCCTCTAATCTCTGTTGTTCCACCAGTTCTGCATTCCTCAGCTCCTCGAAGGCGCGCTGTTGTGAGCGCAGGTTTGCTAGTTCTTCTTCTTCCATCACCTCTAGTAATGCTTGTTCTACTGTCTTACCCACTAACACCTCTAGGATAGGCTTCACTTCCACATCGAAGTCAAATAGCTGTAGATATATCATATATACTAATTACTCATCTGATGGTTCTCATAACTACAACACTTTTATGAAATGGCTCTTATATCAATTTTTGATTTGATAAATTTGTGTAAAGCATTTCACTTAGGCTTTGTTATTTTCATTATGAAAATGGCTGTATTGAAAAATCATCAATCTGTATCTATATTCCTTTTCAGTCATCCAAAAGGTAATTTGATTTTATAATAAAACACTTACATCTCCATCCAAGATCTGTGTAGCTATGTCCAACCCTGTTTTTGCTGGGACAAACATAGGTGATGGTGGTCGGTCAAGGAAGGCATCTGTTTGTACTTCTACATCAGCCTCCTCCACACGGTCACTGAGTTCTTCCAGATACAGCTCAGTCTGTACATCTATGTGTTTACGACCCTCTACAGGCTCAGGAGATCGGGGGCGTAGTTGTTCTTTTGCCCGCTTTTTAGCTATTGCACGACGTCTGTTTTCTTGTTGTCTTTGAATTTCGATTGGATCCGGCTGTGCATGCTGCAAACATCAAAAAAATTTATACATAACATGTCGGAGAAATGTCACAAATTAGCAAGGAATCACCAGGAACAATTTGTTTGAAAAATTGAAAGCAATATATCTTGTCAACTGAAAGCTGCAATAGTGGACATAACATATAGTAGAATGTCTGGCAATTTTGTTGAAATTCATTATTTTTCAAAAATGTCTTTGCCAAAACAATGCCAAAGAGAGATTTCCACTTACCGCAGGCAGTGTGTGTTGTGCATATGTATTACCACGAACAATTCTTTTATCATACATAATGTTTCCATATTGTGGAGGGCCCTGTGTCCTGCAATTGAATAAATAGAATGACATCAAGGTTTTCATCTGATTTGATTATAATTAAGCCACTTCTTAACTTTGAAATAACAATGGTATTGCAGCTATTGGTACTGACTTACTTATTATTCTACGTATAGACCATTTATATCAGTAAAATAATATCTTTACAACAGGAAAAAAAAAGAAAATATATAAGGGACTCTCAAGGCTTTTGTAGTTTGACACATTTAAGGAATTATACAAAAATGCCAAGAATTGTGCCCTTGTGAAATTTGTAAAAGGTTAATATAAGTATTATCATAAAAACTATTTTGAGATCTAGGCTTACTTGTTGATTCCATTTCTGTCCCTAAATCCAGAACTAAAAGTTTAGAGAAAAAAAAAACTAAAAAGGGGATGGCAGAATGACATAATTTCGAACTTTCTTTGGAGTTTAAACATCATTTTGAGTGAGGTTAAACAGTTTGAAAGAAAACAAGCCATTTTCTGTTGTTATAGTGTTGGAAGCAGCACTTGATAATTCTGAAAGAAAACTCCGGCGCTGTTTCATAGCACTCTGAATTTCCTAATTTGAAATCAATAAATTACATTAAATATCAAATAATATTATATCAAAATGTGAACTGCAATGACTTCTACCCCAGATAAAACGATGGTATTATGTTAAGAGTGACAATGTTTGTGTATGATACCGTGTTGTTAACCTAAACCTGAACTTTATCTCTGCTGTTCCATTTTGTGCTGATACATACCCTCCTCCTATATCTCCACCTATATCTCCCGCATCTCTATATTTTTTCCTTTGTTGCACTGCTCTAGGTTGACTGGCAAAGGTATAAGTGCCCTGTGCTTGGGGTTTTTGAGGAAGTAACGTTGCCATTTTGGAAATCAACCTCCAAGTCCAACTGTCAGTTGAGGTTCACACCACCGCTGCGACTGCAGAAGAAAATTATAACCTGTTACACTGTATTGCAAATATACTCCACACCTGACATAAGGAATAGCAATGCACTATTTGGAATCCAATCAACGCATAAAACACGATAACACTAAGTCAAAGGATCCGTTGGTAGGACAAATTTACCTTGTTGGTTCCAATCAATGGCCAAATATTTACGAGTCACGTTGCCAAGATACTATAAGACCGCAGCAAAGATGATAAAATGTTAATATAAAAAATATATATTATAGATGAATACACAAAAATTAAAGTATATAATACACTCATATCGGATTGTCATACACATCATATGTTAAATGTTTTAATTACTTAAAATGTATTTTATTCAGTGCAGAATATGTCAATTGAGTGTATTCAAATTACTAACTGTAAGCAAAAAAGAAACGAAACGCATATACACATTACCTCCCTTGATATATAGTAATCTAGATAACCGGTGTTGGAAAATAAAGTTGAACATACTAACTGAAATTATTCGCTGTAATGTAAAAACTGCATAGATGGTCGATATTCCGTACTATAAGTCTCTTACTGTATCTTTAATTACGGACTTGTTAAGTTTCTGGGACGTATAATGCTATAAACGTGTCCCTGATCATCTTTAATCAGTGCATCGATCTGTATAACTGATGTAGAAATCAATAAAACTACTGTAAAAAAGACTTTTCTTTTTAAACACACGAGACTACTGAAACAAATTTCGCAAATCACGGTCACAGTTACATGACGTCATAGCACTAAACCTTGTTTAACGTTTTCTGCACATTTTATGTCTGCCTGTAAGAGGCACACGCCTACAGTACTGTAATTTCTTGAACTCAAATACTTGTACTCCTATTTGTAAAGCTGAAATGAGGGGGAGGGGCAGTGACAAGTCATATGTATTAACAAGGTGACAGACTGGATGATACATAATAGTAGTAATATATAACATCCAATATGCTTCATCATTACCAACACTTCACAAATCAGCTGTTATCAGCTCTATGTATTAATGTACCTACTACTGTTTTAGTGCCGAAAACATTGACTCCTTTATTGCGATATTAGAGGGGAAATCTATACATAAAACAGTTGTCAGTTGTTGTGTACAACATATTATGCCAGCAATTTTTCAGTAAATCTTTAATGGAGTAAAGCAGTAATTTCTGTACTTTATTGTACACCGTCATCTTTTGTCTTAATGAGTGACACCTGATTATGAATAAGGAAGTAAAGTCTTTTTTTTTCGAACATTTTAATGTCAATAAGCTCATCATGAGATGAATGGAGAAGGTGGGTATCAGTCACATTTCCACGTGTTTATTGTTCCAGTTTACCAGGTTATTCATCGGCGTAATTAGCCTTATCACCTGTCGTCCCATCATTCATCTGTGAGCTGCTCCCCCCGCCCCACTAACTTACCTGTATGTATATACTATACCTATCTCAGTAAGATCGGGTTGTCACCTGCACAACATTGGCTGATTGTTCGGTAAGTTCTTGTTATGTTGGTTCGATATGTATGTGACTATATTGACATTCTACATACCAACACGTTTTGGGACAAGTGGTAATAATAGCTTTTATTAGGGTAAAAACGAACTTCTACGTGTTTAAAATAGATATAGGTGTCCATTATTAGAAACATACGTCGAGGGTGATTGACTGAAGACGTAATCATAATTATATATATATATATATAATCTATTTAACATTGCTGCTCAAATTCTGTAGGATTTATAGAATAGTAAAATAGAGACAAGGATGCCTGGTTGTACTATCTGGATGGTAGGGCAGTATCTGGATTGGCAGGACTATACAATATGATGTCACTACTTTAAGATTGACGCTAGACTTAATATATCTCTTAAATCCACAGTATTGGTCTTTACATACAAAGTTGTTTTAGGGTCACTGACCATGCGGTCAGCAGTGTTCTAAATCATTCGATAAGATGTTTATATTGATTATGCATTACATTCGTATTATCAACGTCATGAGAATGATTGGAGGCTACGAACCACGTCAAACATGTACATAGCTATATCTTCAGATGCAATCTAAATAGCAAAACTAGTTTCATTATCACATATGTAACACATATTTTTAATTCAGTTTACAAATTTATTTGTGTTTTGCACGTATTACACATATTTATATCACATATGTTAGAAAATACACAACTAACAGGTGAGAGGTATATAGCATATACGAAATGATATCGACTGAGGACAGGGTCCGATGGTGGTTTTATTTCTTACCTCGATAATAAGTCTTTAGTTATAACAGATCTTATTGTTGAATGACATTCTTTGTAAAATGATATTTTTAATTCAATTTCAAGGAAAGAACTGTGTACTTATGGATGTAAAACGCTGAAACACATATAGGGAGTAAAAATCAGAATGTCACACATTTAGTAGTTTATAACATATGTTAGAAATCAAACGTTCATATTCAGCTGATACAACGTCTGAAATGTTTTATTTTAAAAGTGAAAAGACAAAAACAAAAAAAAAACAAAAAAAACAAAAAAACACGGAGAGGGGATGGGGGCACACAAAAGCAAAAGCATGTGTTAAACCGTCACTACTGAGTAAGCGAGGGATTTGTAATTAGATAATATAGAACTTGGAATTGTTACAATAAAAGATGAAGGAAGAGTTCATCAACGTCAACCTGAAACTTGTATATATATATATAAAATGTGAGCAACATGCGATAAAATATATGTTACCATAGTTACATGTATATCATACATTCCTCGTGTTGAAATACTCTACATTTTCACAATTTGCATAGAATTAGCAAGTTTTCGTGGATTCAATCATCATAATTTATCCAAATAACACGATGACAGATTGAATGCAAATTTACATATAAGTACAAGAACAATGTTTCTAGCACTTATATGAAAGTTGGTTAAATCCACTCTCATGACGCTCATCATGATAAACACTAACTCCAGAAGATGTTTCATTAGATAAACAAAATACCACATTTTTCAGGAGACACTTATTCAAACATGTGACACTTTAACCACAATGATGAATTGAACACACGGATCCTCCCCCTCCTTCCCTCCCTTCGGCTACATGACAGCCTACGGCAGATGGATTGCGTGATTTAGAATAATTATACTTAGACAATATGCTAAATTACTTCAAAATCAAGTGATGTAAGAGAGTATTTAGAAAATCCTCATTCGTAATGATGAGAGAGTGACTTGTTGATTCGTAAAATTCCGTTGCTAAAAATTGTAATGAAAAAAAAAACAACAAACAAACAAACAAACAAAAATAAAACAAAAATATCCCTTGTAACGCAACGGTATGTTATAAGCATTTATCTTACCTTGGTATGCGGATATATCTTAAACCGTGTACAACGATCAAACTGCGTTTACTCATTTTTGAATCCGTTCCTTAATTAATTAATCATTTTATTTTGTAGGGTAACACTTTTTGTCCAGAGATGGACAATGCCCAGAGCACAACCACCAATGGAGGTCTAGAAGCCAACAAGGACTTTTATACATTCAAACTGGAAAAGGAACCCTCAGCCAAGAAATCTGTCTCATTTAAAACTATCGTTTTTCTCCAGTTGTTCATTCTTGGTGTGTTTGTGATTGGACTCGTCATTGGTCTAGTTGTTGGAATTTACGCGTACAAAGGTCAAAATGAACCATGTACAAGACATCATGACCAGCCTCGCGTTCAACATCAAATCAGTCATTTATCAGAGAGCACTCAATCGCCCACACATCACCATCACACTCATCCCACAGATTTCTTACCGAACTCGCCAATCAATTTCATCGACGATGGCATAAATGTTAATAATTTTGAAGAGATACCAGACTTTGTCGATGTCACTACAGTGCCCCCCGAAGAAACAGAAGATAATTGTAAAGTATGCAAAAAACGGGAGTCGGAATCTCAAGCAAGTGATAAAAAACCTGTGTTTGCTCCGCTAACGGTGGCGGAAATGAACTTAACACACGAGATTCTTCGAGAAAATTCTATTATCAGTCTAGAATTTAACAAGACAAACGATCTTAAAACTGATTTTCTTCATGCCATGCAACTGTCACCTCCCAACAAAAAAATGGCGCTGGCCTATTTGGATTCAAACGGCACTTATCCCGGTCGTTATGCCAGTGTGTCTGTCAACAAGGGCGCGGCAGATCCGCCCTATTACATGGAGTACACCGTCGGCCCCCTTGATGGACCACGGGAAAACATCACTATTGTCCCCTTACTGGATAGAGATGAAGTTCCCTACAGTCGGCGACCATATGACATATTTGAGATTGAACTCATCATGGTATTTATATTCCGGGAAATCGGGAGTATGCAAAGGATGATCCAGGAGAGCTTTGATACCTCCGACGCCATGGACGACCTCAATGTTATACCTGTTGGTCCGTACGAGTCCGAAGAAGGAAAGAGAATCAGTCGTTTTTCTTTGTCCATGAGAGGTCTCGGTAACAGAGATATGGATTTCCTCTCGTCTTTACCATTGTCTGGTAAGATCAACCATGAGAGTCTGAACACATCAGATTGGTACATATTCGACTACTACTATATGAACCAGGGCCCTTTTCCGAATAGCTCATTCCTTTACAGCGCTTACCATTACGATATGATAACAAAAATAAGGTTTCCACCGAACGCTAAAGATCGTATCCAGCAGATGGCTTTTCCACAACGGGACGAACATGCCTTACCAAGAGAAAATTCTAATTTCCCGGGACCAAAGACATACGAACCAAGTGGTCCTCGATACACAATATCAGGACATGACATTTCCTGGTTAGGTTGGACTTTGTCGGCTTCTTCCAATACTCTCAGGGGACCTTCTATATTCAATGTAAAATTTCGAAATGAACGTATCCTGTATGAAAATTCCCTGAATGATATCGGTCTCGTATATTCGGCTGACGATCCAGGAAAGGACAATGTTGTATACAACGATGCGGAATACGGCATTGGCAATGCGAAACATCCACTGGTGGGCACGGATTGTCCGGAACATGCTACATTACTAAATATATCCACTTGGCAGACTCGATCTGGAAAGGCGTCCGTAGTTCCTGGGATTTGCGTGTTCGAGCAGGACAACCAGGAACCGCTGTGGCGACATAATGGGATTGGTTTCCAAGTTGGCGTCCGAAATAGGTATCTTGTGGTGAGGTACCCAACCAGAATCGGCAATTACGATTACATTTTTGATTTCGAGTTTCACCTTGACGGACGTATGAAGACAAAGGCAATCGCCACTGGCTTCCTGTTTGGTTCTTTCCACGATCCCTATACTCTGAACTTTGGTGGGCCCGATGGGAAAACGCCGTTTGGGTACAAAATCGGTAGTTTTATCACCGGACCTATACATGATCATACGTTTGGCTTCAAAGTCGACCTTGACATCGTAGGACCCAAAAATAACTTTGAATTAATTCATTGGAAGTCTGGCGACGTGTTTGAGGCGGTTAATTCGTATCGTCAGGTGAATGTAACTCCACCGTACTTTCACCTCAATCAGACTCGTTATATTGAATGGGAGAAATTACAGACAGAAGACCAACTCGATATCAATTTGGTGAACCAAACATTTTGGACCGTCGTTAACAACCAGAAAAGGAATGCGTGGAATGTAAGTAGAGGCTACAGAATTATGACTATGGCAACTGGTACACAGAACCTTGGTGACGACTATCCAATGATGAGCAGCATTGCATTCACAAAACATCAGTGTCACATCACGAAACGTAAAGAAGAAGAACCTTACCTGAAACCTATTTATAAATATAGTAACAACAAAAACAGCATGAACGTGAAGCGATACCTCGAAGATATGGTTGATGGTGAATCAATAGATAACGAAGATCTGGTCACGTGGTTGTCAATGGGATTTTTGCACATTCCAACTTCAGAAGATGTACCCATCACTTCACGTGTTGAGACGGGGTTCATATTAAAACCCTTTAACTTCTTTGAAAACACGATGACGTATGACATTCCGCAGTATACAAAAGTCGCTGATAAGGTATTCGACACTGAGCCTAAAGAAGGAGACTGCTACGTCCGATCCTAATTCAGTCATAAATCCCTTTCCTATGTAGTGTGTACTAAACACGTGCCCTACTCTTGAATTCTGGGTTGATCCAAAATAACCGATCTCCAGTTTTCCATTTGTAACGGTTTTGCTGTAGTTTTGGGTTATAGCACTCTTTAACAAACCTCGTATGATGTCAGTAATTGTATCGTCTTTATTTATTAACACTCTTTGATATCCCGAACATCAACAATCGAAATGAGACATTCTTGTCACTTATCTAAATGGTATTTTCATTTCTGTGTTTCTCTCTAACTTATTGCTTTGTGTTATGAAGTTGAGAGATATATTAATGGGCTTTCTGTCTTCAGTGATCGTTAGGAATCCTACAAGTATGTAGTGTAATATCTTCAGAAATCATCACTGAGTGATAGAAAAGCACACCAACTGAGCTCCGGTGAATTTGTACTACCAACTGCGCTTTCATTTTCTGAGATCTTCTCTCCCAGTGTATATATATCACTTATTATCTTATACATACATAGAGGAACGGGCGGAGCGCTCATTGAGGAAATTAAATTAACATTATGTACACAGAAATCCGTCATACTTCTTGAAATTATTGAATTAAATCTTAAATTATTGATAAATTTAGTGTGTGTTTTTAATAATATTACACGAATATTTAATTAATATTTGGCATTCATTCTTGAGAGCTACCCTTTACCTGAAACTTCTCCAGGAAAACGATTGTAAAATTATTCATATATGCATGTTACAAATGCATGAACTCCATGTCTATGATGTTCGGTATTTACACCTTCTGCTGTCGTGTCACTAACAGTAGATATGATTAGATTTGGTAGAAAAGCAACTTGTATGAGACAATTCCACAGAGGACAATTTTGCCAAAGCGTTACTATCAAATGAATGGGTGTCAGAATTCCCGTGCTGTCCCCGCCTCTAATTCAGTACGTTGCCAGAGTCGGGCCGGCTCTGTGGAATGGACTATCGCACAGCTTAAATAGAGTAAACAATGACCAGTGATATATAACAAAAACAATGATTCCCATATGCAGTAGGCCTACAATGTATTGATACAATGAATTCCGATATTCTACCAGTCAACGTAAACTTTTGAACTTCGCAGTTTGCTAAATCTAACGAGATTCTCGGTTACTTGTGTTATGATAGCCTCGATTATATAAGTGAAATGTTTTATCATATCATGTCATCATATACTGTGTACATGTAGACAGTGACAGTCATAGGATTACTGACAGGTCAGTCTGGTGAAATACAGGTAGGACAATGAAATGTGTAACGTAGAGACAGGTAGTGCATCAATATGCTAATAAATATGATTGTTTTGACAGTCATACACACACCAATTCATGGATAAGTCCAGGACTACTTATACAGTGATCATTATACCATAGAAGGTGTGTCAGAGACAATTTGTTATAGAAATTACTTAGTATGTACAGGTATGTTGTATATTACAGGAGTTTTCATTTATGAAACGATTCTAAAGTGATTTTTCAAAAATAAAAAATATGGAATGGAAAGGAACCGTTATTTTTTTGTAGATGTTATAGAAATATTAGTTTTATTATTCTTTTATATCACCTGATGCTATGATAGCAACAATAAATAAAGTACCGACATGTCAACAGAATCTGAATTCAAACTTTAAAACCATGAAACTAGGGCAAAATAATAGTAATAAAAAACACACCGAGAATCCTGAAAAATTTCGAGAAGGAAAAAGACCATTTGTTTCGGAAAGGTATGCGTCTTATGCTTCAGAAATGACACCCGCCACTGAACTAAATCAATGTCAATCCGAGTAAGTAATGTCACGTTCTCATACGAACACAAAAATGTAAATTATATCAATTATCATTATTTCTTATGAATAACATTAAACTTTCATCGAGCAGATTGGAAACTGATGTTTTAAAGAGCGTGCGGATATGTAATCAGATTGTTAAAAAAGTGTTTGAAAACTCAAAAGCTGATATATTCATCGAGTGAACGTCACTTACATTTTACCCCTTAAAACACTTAACTGAGTATCACAGGTTTGTCGTTTTATAAAATGGGTGTGGCCATTTAGTTAACCTCTCTATGGAACAATCGTTTTCATTTGTCATTTTGAAATTATTATCATATTATCACCCCATACAAAAAAATCGACGTCGTGTGTAACGTCAAGTTTAATTGGCCAGTTAATAAAGAAAGGGGTCCATTATAAATGCCAAAAATAGTTTTTAAGTGCAATCTGTAATTTGATTATAATAACTATCTTGAATTATCATTTTTATCTGCTGTTGATTGATAACACAAAAAGGGGCGTACTCTTACACTTCCTGGCCTATTTAAAGTACACTCCATTTTTTGTGTTATGACTCCATAAAAAATGAATATGTTACCTTTGGCGCATTACTTCGTGTACATTACTTCATATAATGAGATGACGTCACAACTTCGTAGATTAAATTGTGACGTCACAATAGAAACCATATATACAGAGTCGGAAAAATGACTTCATTGGTTATGCAGAAAGTTCAAAAGCCCGCTAAAATGACAAATTATATGACTAGTTTCATAAATTACGTGTGAAATGGAAATTCATGCATATGTAATAAGGTTAGATAACTCATTAACTCCACTGATTTATCGACAGGACGTCACAGGAACAATTACCGTCACAATAGAAAGATGTTGTCGACGTCGTTGAGATATAACGGCAGAAGTAGTGCCACGTCCTTCCTCAAGGGTTGGCAAAGTTAAGGGTAGTAAGATAAGACAGGGCTATGATAAATATGCATATTTTAAAAGAGGCAGAATATTTCATTTTTGTCGCAAACTGGTGATTTTTTTAGGAACCCAGTTATATTTTATCATTATAATCACATATAAATATTTTCGTTTGTATCCAGTTACAGGATGTGTCAGGGGACGCCATGATATTTTGACAACAAAATTGCTATACGGAAGCTATATATATATACTTATCATCTAGTAAAAACAACGCGCTGTCAGAAACAATACAAAACATCCAGGTAAAATTAGATATGTCCAATTTTTTAACACGGTTTCCTTACATGTATAAACGTACAAGATCGTATTGTCGTCATGACAAGGGACACCTGTCGAGCAAATCGAAAATCACATAAAATTCAGGTTGTGGACTTTTTTTTGGTAAAGAACAAAAGAAAATGATTTGAAATGCGATGGACTATTTTTGTAGCGTGTGTAAACGGTGAGTGCTCACTGGCTTGGTGGTAAGGCCTACCTTTTTAGTTGCCTCGAAAAATCGAGAAGGCATTGTTTTATTTCCTTAAAGGAACTTTGTCTGTGCGACGTCATTCTAAATTAATGGTTAGCGAGTGAAAAAGTATATTTATCCACTACAGTCATAAACCTCTAACTCCCTAAACACTTATCGGGCCCACTGATTTTAAACTAAAATTTATTGATATTAAAAAATATGCTAAAACACTGGATATAGGTTTAATGGCAATATATGATACACAAAGCACTCTTGAAATAATTCGAATACGAATTAAATTAGAATGCAGAATTGTGTTTCATTTAAACAATCTATTATATATACTACTTGCATGTACTACGTAAGATAGTGTGTCATAATTTATTCAATTTTAAACAGTGAATTATACTTATATTGTAAACTATACACCGCACTGTATGCTATACAGAAATAAAACCTGAAACATAGCACAGTTCTTCTTTACAAGCTAGATTATTTAAACTCGTATCAAGTCATTGGTTGTCTGTGCGCCCACGCGTGCTCATTCCGTATTTATTTCAGAAAACGTCTTCCGTAATTTGTAACAATCAGGTTCACAGAGGAGAAAATGGCCTGCAGAGCCGGTAGCTTGCGATTTTTGATTCCAAAGTTTGCGTCATGTGTTAATCGAGTGAATTCAGGAACAGTTCCAGCTTTGATAAGAAAGACACAACCTAGGATCTCTGCAAGCAGACACAGATTTTCATCAACAGTTCCTAAACCGAAGAAAGAAACGTAAGTTGTGACTGAAATTCTTGACATTGTCACAGATTTGACGTGACACCATTACGGTATCTTATCTTTTAGCCTTTAGATTAATTTGATCGAGTTTTAAACGTATATAGTAATATTTATTGATAAATTATAAGCATGCTCATGGTAGAAAGAGAGTTAATGGGTAACTTTTCGATTCCGGTAGTTGTGAAAAAAAATACATGGCGTATTTCCAATTGTCATAACAGTGTGTAACCTGTTTCGTAAGTCTTTCATTATACTGTTGCACACAATTTTATATTTTGGCCACAATGTCAATAATCAAGACTGGCTACATTTCCTTTTTATCTCGGGTTTGTTCCTTCAGGAGCATACTTACTGACAGAATGACATTATCTCGACGTGAAGATAAATTTTGCATGATTGTCGAAACTTATTTGATGAATGGTAATGTCTGACTTTGTATGGGAAAAACAGAAACAAACACAACGAATCTGATGGACTTGTTTGGAAAAATATCTATGTGTCATACAGATTTGGGCAAGATTGGTCAACCTTTAATAATACTGACATAAGAATATCCAAAATGAAATATTTTTCACGGTCCCTCATTTAGGTGCTCCTGTTATTTTAAACTACAAGTAAATGATGAAGGTTTAAAAGGAAATTGCAAAGTAATTCAAAAATAACTGCAGCATTATATGATTAAATTCTGCCTACTTTTGTTGTGAGTTTACCAATTCTATGTTAGAACAAATGTTGACATTCTTTTGGAAATCACTGAAGTAGGTAGAAACTGTAGCAATGATATTAGGAATTGTTACTCTATGTAGTACTCCATCAGACTAATGTTCACAAAATATTAAGGCAAAATAATCCAGGCATGTTGTAATGGTTACACATACATGTTTTCCAATTGAAAAAAAAGGAAAGAGAAAAGATATTCCTCATGATCCTTTTCATTTCTAGTGAAGATGGATACCTACTAAATCCCTGTGAAGACAACATGAATAGGTTTACTAGTTAGCAACATGAAAACAAACCTTGATATTGTGCATATGATTATAGGATTTGTACCTAAGTTGTATTTGTGATACAGGGTGCAAGTGTACTTTATGGACAGGGATGGTGATGAAATAGAAGCCAAAGTCGCAGTTGGTGAATCTTTTCTTACAGCTGCTATTGACAACGATGTAGAACTGGAAGGTATACACATCTAAGGTTATTTGTTAGCATTAACATCAATATGTATATAGGTGGAACTATGGCCAGTTCCCTGACCACAGCATGAACAGGTACCAACAAATCTTGAATTTATGTTTTCAGGATAACTGTACATTTTATCGAAAGTGATGGATCAAAGTTCACAACGACAGCTGCAGTGGGAGAAAACCTTTTGGATATTATTATCGACAACGATATAGATATAGATGGATTTGGTTAGTTCAATTTTCTTTTGTATTATTATCTTGTTTGACAATTGGTGATTCCTAATATGATTTATATATATAGCAATACTATGGTCCTGTTTATTGTGTTATTGTGTATAGTTTTATCACTTCTGTACATAGGTTTTGATTGTATACGGTAAACCTCAGTTTGAATAGGCAGGTAGTTTGAACACATGATATTTCAATAAAAACAAGAATTTATTGTCTAATGATAGTTCGAACCCTTTCTAGTTTTATTTCACTTATGATTCAAATTGCTTGAACATACCACGAAACATCACCTTTAACTACTGAAAGACTTTGGCATCAAAATAATCGCTCCATGTGGTCACTATTTATGTTGACATTAAAAGCTGTAGGTAGCAGGCTGTAAATGACCCATCATAAGCAACTGATAGCGTAAAATTATATACATACATGTCACTTAATTTGTATGATGTCATGATTTTTTTCACATCTTGCCGCAACATTGTGCGCCCCAGCTGACACAACTTGAGGCCCCAACTCTGTATTACCAGCTAATTTAGCGATCAATATATATATACCAGTAGATCACTGGATGTCGGCATGTGTTTTGCCAAAGAACGACGTTACTTCACTTAACATTTTGATAAGATAATTGTGTCAAGACTATCTCCGTGATTGCTAGATTCATAAAGATTTTAACAAACTTTAATGTGTAGTCATATAAGTCTCAATCCACACTCGGCATACCGATGTGTCAATGCTAATTTCCACCAATATACAAGCAGAAATTTTCACCGGCTTGTTCCTTTTCCTAATGGTTTCCAAAGTGATGAAGAATTAAATGAAACCTGTGATTTCTTAATAGTTGATCAACATGTACTTCAGTACAGGAAGTGTTTCAAAAGATAATCATTTTATATTGGATATTTTTTTACTAGAAAATCTCATTGCTGACCGATAAATTCCTGTCTTGCTAGGACACTTCATCGTGATTTTGGGCAATGTCAACCATAATTGTTTGAACTCTAATTTATTTTCACAAGCATAATTTTGTATAATTCAGACAGGTTCAACAATATTTAAATATATTTGTTAAGACGGAAGGTTTACTGTAAATTACAGTCAGTGAGGTCATGATTGCTTTGGTCCTTCTTTTAACCTTGGTGTCTGTATTGTCATTTTCCTTCAGGATTTCCTTATTCCTGACAATTATTTCCTGGATCCCTGATTGTAAACAGAAATTTTGTGTTGATTCAAAAAGAAATAGAAGATGTCATTTTCCAGATATATACCGCTGGTATAAATTGTTTTGAGATTTAAGAATGAAGTGTCAAACACACGGTATCTGTCATGTTAAGGTGGAAAGGGTAACTGGACATAGAATTTCATTAAGTGAAATACTGTGATCTATTATATAAAAGAAATGTTTAACTGTCTGTATATGCCTCTTAACTGTTCAAAGAAGATATAAATTGTTCAAACTATACATATAATTATTTATTTTCCTTCACATAGTTATATTAATGCTCAAAGTTTCCATGTAAAAACTAGGAGCAAAACATTCATCGATTGGATTGTGAACATATATGAAAACTATATCAGATAGTGTTTGAAATTGTCAATTAAATGATGAAGCACAAATCTGCATGTGATGTGGAAGAAGTTCGTGTTGTACACAGAGTGTGTATTAAGACAAACAGTTACAGAGTAATGTTTATTGCAATCGTCTCATTGGTTTTTATAAAGCATATCTTTGAGTATTTTAATTATTTATTTGATGTAATGATCAGGAAACGTATTGGTGTGATTATCTGAACAAAATGTGTTGCTTTTTGACAATACACATACCAGCATTCCATGCTCTGTCTTCAGATACAAAAGAAATTACACTGTAACAATTTGAATAGTGACCACATAAAGGGACTATTGTGATAACTTATCAATAGTTGGCTTTATACAGGCATACATACAATTTCATCATGTAATTACATGATTTATATGGTAAGTGACAAAAGAACAGAAATGAATTGAACCATCACTTGACTTACCATTTTTGTAGAAATATTAGATGGCAATTGGTCATTCATATGTAAGTTCCCTTTGGTCACTTATTGTGCATTGTCTCATTTTTGGGACTGATCCAGAAAACAATATGGCTGACAGACAGCCATCTTAGATTTTGACAGTAATAGTTTATCCCTATTTCTAGAGAAATATTTCTGGAATTTAATGTGTAGGTTTCCCTCTATTCCTGGTTGTGCCCATTCAATTTTGAGCCAGATCAGTCAAACAAAACTTCAGACAGGTGGCTGTCTTGGATTTTGACAGTTGAAGTTTGTTATCAATATTTTTCAAAAAACTGTTGTTAGATTTTTCATGTGTAGGATTCCCTTGATTTCAAAGGTCATTGGAAAAAAAGGAAAGAAATGAAAAGTAGAGAAAAGATCAATATTGCATAGAATCAATGTTGGATGGCAAGATTCCTCTGGCATCTCTTGTTACATATATGAAATATTGAGTGCTCTTTAACAGTGCACCCGGAAGATTTGAATTTGCTCTACTGAACCAGTTCTTTTAAAGCCTCTTACATTTCATATGATTTAAGCTGGCAAGATAACTCTCTTTTATGTCATTTCAAATTTTCAAATAAGTAAGTATATTCATAAGTAAGTTTGATCTTCTCTTCCTCAGGAAGCTCAGTAATCCCTATGATACTGGTATTAGTTCTCAGCATTACATAAACTCTGCGTGTTTGACATGAAGATATGTGCTATATTAAAGTATAAATCTCTGCTGTTTGACTGCAGGGGCCTGTGAAGGAACACTAGCCTGCTCCACATGCCATCTAATCTTCAAGCAAGAGGATTATGACAAGATACCAGAAAAACCCACAGATGAAGAACTTGACATGCTGGACTTGGCATATGGCTTAACAAATACGTAAGGATTGGGCTCATCAATATTTCATGTGAATTCAAAAAGAAGTGCTATTATAGTGAAAGAGATGTCTTTTAGGCTACTAGCTAGGTTCTAGAATCAATAACCCATATGTGATGGAGGTCAATTTGTCTCGATGTGGACGAACAATCTGTAATATATCATTATCTCAATCATTCATGGGTAATAGGTTTTACTTATTATGTATTTTGTGTCAAAAAAGTACAAAAACTTTTCATTTCTGAATTCTTCAATTACTTCACTTTTCCATCATATGTTATAAAAATAAAATAAATTTCTGTGAATAATTGGAAACAAAAATAGAGAATACTGGTGTAAATGAATAATGATTATCTTTGTCCTACAATTGGTATATGTTGACCGATATGATATTTTTCAACAATTTTCAAATTATATGATAGCATTTAATTTCTGTTACAGGTCACGTCTGGGTTGTCAAGTAGTAGTGACCAAAGAGATGGATGGACTGCAAGTTCAGGTGCCAACTTCTGTGGTTGATGCTCGAGATCCGTCCTAGCACTGACTGACCTTCATCCAGACAACTTGTTGAACTTTTAAACTTCTCATTGTAAATATTCTGGATTCTGTAAAATCGTTACTTTTTCTTAAATACAAGTAAAGTTAATATCTGTAATTTTGATCCTGCCAAAATGTCAGGAGGTTAAAAAGCATCTTTGAAAACCTCTAAGTATAACGAAGTACCACAATTTATTGTGAAAATTGTGATCTCTGGTACATTTGGATACTACACATTTAGAGTACTTTGATTCAACAGAAAATCTGCTATCTTTTGAAACAGATTAATTTTACTTTTATGATAGACAGATACATTCTACTGTCATGGTAAGCAGATGGAAGTCACTTTTGTTTTAAACTGATGAAATTGCAAGTCTACTCTCTTGTTAAACAGATTAATTCTAATTTGATGATAAACAGCTGGTCTGCTCATGCTAAACAGATTAAGTGTTTCTTACATTAGAAAAATAACTATTGTACTGTAGTTGAATATGTGCAGTTATTAATCACCGCTCAATAAGGGCTAAAAACTGTTGTGTAAATGTCGTCTGAAGAAGCAAAAACATAAATTATACCATCCACAAAGGAAACACTTGACGTCAGTCCTTTAATTAAAATTACATGTATTACAATAAATAGTGATAGGAACATTATATGGACATCAATGTAGGCTAGTAATTGAAAAATGACCAAGTGTTTAGAAGAGAAAATCTGTATCATGACACAGAAATTGTGTGTAACAAGAGAAGTCTTTATCTGTTAAATCAATGAACTTTGACATGAATTAAGTGTTTTTTAAACTATGACAATCATTCATGTTGACCCTGTGTTAAGCGTTCATGTGTCATAATGTGGGAGGATTTCTGAGAACTCACTGATGAAAATCAGGTAATCAGTAACTGTCTATTCCGCTGCTATTTCACATCTACTGCATCACTTCCATTTGATTTTAAAACAGGTCAGGCTTTACAAGAATGAATTAAAGTCATTATTTATCATAGTCTGTTAATATCAGAAATTATAAACATACCTGTTTTGTTTTTTCATTTCGTTATAATTTCAATAATATCATGTTTAAATCTAAAGCATCTTATATACACTATATATTATTGATTGTGCCATCTTAGTTGAACTCCAGCGAAGTCATAATTTAAGTACGACACATTGGAATTTTCCCTGCTTCATATTGGAATCAGTGATTAGGTTCACATCAAGTATGAAAAGCATGTCTTGTGATTGATATTGGAATCTTCCTGATGGGAAAATAATAAATTTGTATTTCGATTCCCTAAAAACATATTATTTTTGTGTATGTATATATACACTAAATCTTGTTAATGAGAACATTATCAGTAGGGTAATGTCACAATTATTTGTGTCCAAGTAGGGAAGTTTTCCTATTGTCAAAATGTTTTCTCTGTTATCTTGTAGAAGTGTAATGGTATCAAACTATGTGTGTTTAAATGAGTTACATTTTGTCTAGAAATATGTGAGATCCCATTACTCATTAAATTTCGTTTTGGATGTTTCATGAATACTGGACAAACCAAAAGCTAAACAGCAGTGTTGAGAACTTTTGTATGTAATCTTATATTTAGTAGTGTAGCTAAGAGTTGGTCCAGATATAGACGACATCCGTGCAGAAATATAGGTCTCTATATTGACAAACAACAAATCTAAATGTTTTTTCTCCCAGGTATACTTAAATTTATTGATTTAGTAATGGAACATGTACTTGTTAGCTACAGTAAAACAACTGCTTTTGGACTGTTGGTAGATGTAAAGAAAACAAACGCACAAGACATCACTACACTTCAGCTTGATATTTTTTTGTTGACCTCCTTTGGAAGTGTGCCCGAGTAATATTTTGGACCTTCAGCCTGTCAGTAACAAAGGTCCTTGGATTTATGTTTGTAGTTATTGTTATTACTTGTACCAGTAGCTGATTTATGTGCAGTTATAACTGTTTATCACATGTGTGCTAATAGGGATAAGGTGAAGGTGCTGTATGATGTTGATTGTCTTGCTAGATTTCTATATAATATTTAATTTGATTTATATGCACATTGCCACCAATAAATACCCAGACATTATTTTTAGAGAAATATTTTTGAATTTATTAAAACAAATTTTACAGCTTCCATTGATATCATATTGATTTAACACAGCATACCAGTATGTACTTAGTTTATAAAGTTATTAAAACGTAATAATTCTGATAGATACCTGGTGGAGATTTTTTTTACAGTAAAGAAAATCATTTTTGTAAGGATTCTTCTTTTCAGTGTAACTCTATGGCATTAAAAATTGTGTTAGAATTGCATTTTAAAACCATTTCAGGAGTAGGCCTGTATTTTTTTACAGTACTTGCAGTTCTCATTGACAAGTAGATTATTTTCAAGAGTTCTGATATACGACTAGTCTGAATAATGTCCTGTTTTTTTTCTGATGGCAGTTCATATAGAAGGTTATTCTGTAAAATGTATTTGATGATTTACTTTCATCTTGAAGAATTTAGGATGCAATTTTATCAGACTAATTAAATTTTGTACCATCAAATTGCAGTAATTATTAAATTTTTATTGTGATTTGTGCTAAATGATTTACCAAATTCAATTGACAGCATATGTGTATATTTACAATGTAGGATGAATGAGCACCAGCAGATTTAGCTGTGATACCATGTATATATATGTGAATACAGACATTGTATTTTCTTGGGATGTGTTTGAATGCAGAAATGGTATTGTCTTTGGGTGTGATGTCTTGTATTTTATGGGAGTTTTAAGACATCATGTACCATACATTGTTTGAGTCTATGTGAGGATCTTGTATGTGTAAAGACACAACAAAGTCTTTAGATTTGAAAACATTACAGTGTCTAGGATTTCAAAATCTTAATGTTGTCATGGGGTGTTAAGATAATACAATGTCTAGGAATTTGATAATCTTACATTGTCTTGGGATTGTACCTTGCATTGCATAATAGTCTTTACATTGTCAGTGAAGTTTTAAAGATGTTAGTGCTCATTGGGTTAGACGACATCACATGATCAGGGAGAATGAAGGCATTAAATTGTATGTGAATGTGGAGACATTGTATGATTTTAGATCATTTTCATGTCTTAGTAAAATCAAAATGTCAATAGGTCAAAATGTCAATAGGTCCAAATGATAATAGTACACACTCTTCAAACGTGTGAAGCTTTAGATGCAGGAAGCCATAAAATTTTGACAGTTGGAAAATGTCATTTTTGTTGTTGTTACGTTAAGGCATTATTATTACTCTAATTAATGGGAGATAACTCGAGTTAGTGATGTGATATAATGCATATTTATTGTATGAATGGTGGTATTTTTGTATATCACTTTTCCTGTTGTACTGACTTTCTGTATAGCACTAATCAGAGTATCAGAGGAGATGCTGTTGATTAGTAACTCAGTTTATATGACTGTTGAGAGAGATGGTTGATAAAACGAATTAGTGAGTGTGCTAATATGTTTAAATTACCTGTATAATGATGATACTTGCTGTGTCTGTATGATGAAACATTGACATTAAACTGGATTTTAATCACTTTTTTGATTTTAATTCACTTGGTATCTTTTTTTTTAGGTTTTCTGAAAAACCTGATATACATTCAAAAATTTCATAATTTATACTAGTAAATATGTAAATCATTTAATGACACATTTGATGGGATCAATTTCACTCAAACTTATCCTGTACTTCACAAAAATGTGTTTTCATTATCATTGCAGACAAGTTTCCGCTGAATTCCAATGGTGGATCTAAGGAGGCTTCAAATATGTGTTGATATGAAAAACCTTTATTGCACATTTATGTCAAAAAAGGCTGTCGTTCAAATTTCATGAAGTGACCAAAGATAACAACTTTTGTCAAAATGTGTTCATTTATATTTCCATCGAGTTTCATTTCAGCTCAGTAGTCAAAGTTGCACTGGAAAAGCAATTTGAAATATTTCACAAGAGATGATGCCCATCTTAGATTTTCCGACTGACCCGAAAAATAATAATGATCGGATCTACCTTTGGATAGTTGCAAGCAAGTTTCAACAACAGCCGATTGGTTAAACTTGAGAAGTACTAGATGGATCTTTCTTAAATTTCATTGGTAGGTTCCCCTTGGTCCGTAATTGTGGCCGTTTGATTTTGGGTCTGATCAGAAAAATGAAATGGCCGAGAGGCAGTCATCTTGGATTCTGACTTTGAAGGTTTGTTATCACCATTTCTTGAGAACTGTTGCATAGATCTTTCTCAAATTACATATAAAGCTTTATTTTGGTTCCTACTTTTGCCTATCTAATTTTGGGACTGATCAGAAAATAAAAAAAAATGGCCGACAGACAGCCATCTTGGATTTTTTAATTTGAAAGTTTGTTATCGCTATTTCTTAAGAAGTACTGGATAGATCTCTCTCAAATGTCATATGTTAGGATCCCAGTTGTGTCAATTTGATTTTGGGACTGATCAGAACAACAAAATAGCCGACATATTTGGTGATCACTATAGATCTTTATCAAATCTCATGTATATGGTTCTTTAGGTCCCTAGCTGTGCCTTTTCGAGTTTGGGAATGATCAGAAAAATAAAATGGCCGAGAGACAGTCATCTTGGATTTTACATATTAAAGATTGTTATTGCTATTTCTTAAGAAATACCGAATGGCCATTTTGGATTTGGCAGGTAAAGCTTATTATCGCTACTTCTGCGAAGGAATGTTCAAATGTTTTATCAATAAGAGCAAAAACAGATAAAAGAAGGGAAACGATCTTTCGAAGAGCATATAAAGATCAAACAATGGTGGGCGCCAAGATCCCCCTGGGATCTCGTGTCATTCACTCGAACTCGATACCCAAAAGGAATTTTATAAGTAATGATAATGAACGTTTTACTGGTTTTGGACATGTGAAGATGCAATGCACTGCATACCTGTACCTCACCCTTGTTTGAGTCTTATTTTTCAGTCATGTTGTTTACACTTGTAATGTATGTGAATCAATTCCTCGACTAAGCCACGTCTAAAGGTTCCAGACACGAAATGAGGATGTTTTGTTTTTCTTGTTTTATTTGTTGGGTTTTTGTTGTTGTTTTTCTTTCGTTTTAATTCATATTTTCTCTGAGGTTTTGCATAGTACATTTACTATAATTATATTTTCAGTTTCTCAAATATACACTACACTCAACCATTTGTTTCCTTTCAATCTACCTTGGATACATCCATGAAATCCCAGGGGTTTCAATCACTTTTGCTCTCTGCACTGCTGGATTTACTTATTTATCTATTTATTTAACGGGTTTTACGTCCATCATTACAGCTTGAAGCCTTTCAGCGGTATATGCACCCTTGGAACATGTCATGGCAAGATTGAAGGTAGAAATGAAGTAATTTTATTTAATCCAGGAGGGGAGTATCGAGGATGAAGTGATCGTAATACCTGGAGTATCGAGGATGATGTGATCGTAATACCTGGAGTATCGAGGATGAAGTTATCGTAATACCTGGAGTATCGAGGATGAAGTGATCGTAATACCTGGAGTATCGAGGATGAAGTTATCGTAATACCTGGAGTATCGAGGATGAAGTGATCGTAATACCTGGAGTATCGAGGATGAAGTGATCGTAATACCTGGAGTATCGAGGATGAAGTGATCGTAATACCTGGAGTATCGAGGATGAAGTGATCGTAATACCTGGAGTATCGAGGACGATGTATCGTAATACCTGGAGTATGAAGTGATCGTAATACCTGGAGTATCGAGGACGAAGTGATCGTAATACCTGGAGTATCGAGGACGATGTGATCGTAATACCTGGAGTATCGAGGACGATGTGATCGTAATACCTGGAGTATCGAGGATGAAGTGATCGTAATACCTAGAGTATCGAGGACGAAGTTATCGTAATACCTGGAGTATCGAGGACGATGTGATCGTAATACCTGGAGTATCGAGGATGAAGTGATCGTAATACCTAGAGTATCGAGGATGAAGTGATCGTAATACCTGGAGTATCGAAGTTATCGTGATCGTAATGACGAAGTGATCGTAATACCTGGAGTATCGTGATGAATCGAGGATGAAGTGATGATGATCGTAATACCTGAAGTATACCTGGAGTATCGAGGATGAAGTGATCGTAATACCTGGAGTATCGAGGATGTGAAGTATCGTAATACCTGGAGTATCGAGGATGAATGTGATCGTAATACCTTCGAGGACGTCGTAATACCCGGAGTATCGAGGATGAAGTGATCGTAATACCTGGAGTATCGAGGACGATGTGATCGTAATACCTGGAGTATCGAGGATGAAGTTATCGTAATACCTGAAGTATCGAGGACGAAGTGATCGTAATACCCGGAGTATCGAGGATGAAGTGATCGTAATACCTGGAGTATCGAGGACGAAGTTATCGTAATACCTGGAGTATCGAGGACGATGTGATCGTAATACCTGGAGTATCGAGGACGATGTGATCGTAATACCTGGAGTATCGAGGATGAAGTGATCGTAATACCTAGAGTATCGAGGACGATGAGATCGTAATACCTGGAGTATCGAGGATGAAGTGATCGTAATACCTGAAGTATCGAGGACGAAGTGATCGTAATACCTGGAGTATCGAGGATGAAGTGATCGTAATACCCGGAGTATCGTGGATGAAGTGATCGTAATAACTAGAGTATCGAGGATGAAGTGATCGTAATACCTAGAGTATCGAGGATGAAGTGATCGTAATACCTGGAGTATCGAGGACGAAGTGATCGTAATACCTGGAGTATCGAGGATGAAGTGATCGTAATACCTAGAGTATCGAGGATGAAGTGATCGTAATACCTGGAGTATCGAGGATGAAGTGATCGTAATACCTAGAGTATCGAGGATGAAGTGATCGTAATACCTGGAGTATCGAGGATGAAGTGATCGTAATATCTGGAGTATCGAGGATGAAGTGATCGTAATACCTAGAGTATCGAGGATGAAATTATCGTAATACCTGGAGTATCGAGGACGATGTGATCGTAATACCTGGAGTATCGAGGACGATGTGATCGTAATACCTGGGGTATCGAGGATGAAGTGATCGTAATACCTAGAGTATCGAGGATGAAGTGATCGTAATACCTAGAGTGTCGAGGATGAAGTGGATAATACCAATGCCTGATTTTACAGAAAAACAAAACGTTTGAGCAATTTCTCTCCAAAATGTGTGGTTAATAGATTGCGAGAGACTTAAGTAACACAAAAACTACACCAAACGAATGATTGTTAATTAATTAATTTATTGTTTCCGTTTATCTTTTATGATTTGCGGGAATGGGCAAAGCGAGATCTCAAAACATAAACTATGGAATGTGTCATCAAGGAATAAAGGTTTCAACTGGGATTTTACATCCTCGGGATATCTAATTTCGTAAGGAAATGGAAAAACATATGATCGCTCACCATTATATTATAGTATCATCACTGTGACAACGGGCTGTCCATTCAGAATCACAGGGACTTGACACAAATTCCTACCCATAGACCATATACATACCTATCTAGATCTAGATATAGACTGGGGGTTGGGATTTCGTGCCAAGAGTCCATGTGGTCTGAAATACATGTATTTACGATAAGTTCAACTAAAGTAGAAAATAGCAAGTGTTTGAAAATATTGTTTTATTATAATTTAAATTTGAACTTTAACAGACTTTTGTTTGTCTCGGTTAGTGGGAAAGTGTCTTTTAATCAAATAAACCACAATGAAAAAAATTAACCCAGTTCAGGCTACTACCTGAATTAATTGACCTTTACCGTCATTTTGGGGTAAAAACACGAACCTCGCCATTTTCTATTTTCAAAAGGAGACATTCTATATTTGTAACTAATACATGTTCAACCAAATCGATGAAACGTCGCGTGACTGTTGACAATTTTGATTATTTACTAATACTATATTGAATCATGTAAACAGCATTTATTTTTTAAAATGTATTTGCACAAGTTGAATCATTAGTTATAATTGGGTAACAATTTCAAAAATAGAAAGGAAAATAAATAAAGCCAGGAAATGTAGCGTAATCGTAGTGTTTGCTGCACGATTTGCTAGTGTCTATGATCATATGCGTGTAATCCGGTCTACACACACTTTGAACTTTACGTACTGTGATACATAGACTCTTTAGAATCCAGAATCTTTATTTATGTTCGCTGATTTTCTCAACATACGGTCCTGTTTATATTCTTAAAAATAATAGGGAAATTTGCCAAACATAAAAATTATCTCATTAGATATTTATAGTGTGTCTGAACGAATTCACGAAAAGATGCAGTGTCTGGAAAAATGTGTTAGAGAAAACACCGCTGATAGACATTGTATAATTAACACAGTCCGAAATCACACATGGCCGAGGTTAAATTAAATAGAGAATATGTTCTAAGTAAATAGCCGCCAGGCTCAACAATAGGGTAGACCGAGCGGACAGGTCGGGAGGTAGATGGAGCCTTATACACGTATGTTAAGTACTTAGTATCGAAGATTTTATGGCGCGAACTGGACTATATACTTCATTTCTGTTATAT